ACGGGACTGGGAGGCATTGGAAGCACTGAGGGGAGTACGTGGGACTGGGAGGCACTGGAAGCACTGGGGGGACTGGTGGCTCTGGGGGCACTGGAAGCACTGCAGGGATTGGGGAGCACTGGGAAGAATGGAGGGCACTGGGGGGACCGGAGGGCACTGGGGGGACTGGGAGGAATGGGGAGCACTGGGTAGAGTTCAGGGGAACTGGGGGGGACTGGGGGTTTTGGGGGGAGCCTGTGGGGGTTTGGGGCTGATCCTGGGGGGTTTCGGGGTCCCCATGTCACCCGTGTCCCCCCAGGACGTCACCAAGCGCCTGTCCCTGCCGGCCGACACCCGCCTGCCCGAGGGGGGGCTGGGGCTGCCCGGGCCCCTCAGCCGCCGCCTGCGCCGCGTCTCCCTGGTGCGTCCCAGTAGGGACCAGGACAAACTGAGACTGAGGGGTAGGAACAGCAACGTCCCCCCGTGCCCCCTGCTCTCCTCGGGGGGCAGCTGGTGAGCCTCCACCTGCTCTGGTATCCCCTGCTGCATCCCAGTGTGGACCAGTACAGGCCAGTATATAGAGCAGCTGATCCCAGTGTCACTTCCTGGGGCTTCCCAGCGCTTGTCAGTTGTTCCGAGCCCTCTGCAGTGGCATCCGTTGAATGTCGATGTGTTCCAGTGTGAATTGGTGTAAACCAGTATAGGCAGTGTAGACCAATATGAATCAGTACAGGGTGGGAGGGACCAGCATCACCCCATCCAGTACTTCCCAGTTTTCCCAGTAATCGTTTCCCTCTTTGGCCAGTCGGAGATCGGTTTTGGGAAGTTGGAGACCTACGTCAAACTGGACAAACTGGGAGAGGTGAGGGGGGTGCCCAGTAGGTGGGGGGATGGGGCCGCCCTGTGTTCCCCCTTGTGTCCCTGATGTCCCCACTGTCCCCATGTCCCCACTATCCTTGTGTCCTCATGTCCCCCCATATTCCTGCCTCCCCCTGTATCCCTGATGACCCCATGTCCCCCTTATGTCCCCAATGTCCCCATGCCCCCCGTGTCCCTGATGTCCCTGTGCCCCTGGCCCCAGGGCACCTACGCCACGGTGTACAAGGGCCGCAGCAAACTGACCGAGAACCTGGTGGCCCTGAAGGAGATTCGGCTGG